GCGCAGCACCGAGGGTTGCGATCCTGTTGCCGGTCCCGGTCCAGTGTGGGCGTGACACTGAGGGTTGCGGTCCGTTGCCGGACATGAAAAAAGACAAAAAGGAAAAAAAAAAAGAAAAATCAGGTATGTCCCTCGCTTTAGCAGACCTAACTGCTTGGGGGTGGGGAGGAGGTGATAGGCACTTATTCTCTTGTGAAGAAAGGAAAAAAAAGAAGCAAGTCAATATTCTCCATGATGCCCTGTGGCAGCCAGCCTCCAAAATGGCCCCCAATCCGGGGACCGGACCCTCCTCCCTCACCAGGCATATGGCGCCAGCACCTCGGGGCCCCCCCAGGGACCAGAGGCATGGAGAAGGGGACCAAACACACCCCACAACCAGGCACACCGCCAGTGCCAAGGAGTATACCAAAAACATCACCTCCACGTGGGTGGCCCACCACAGCCACCACCAATAAGCATGGCTGCTGCAAAAGCGGCTAGATGCCACAACCACCACGCAGATGGTCCGCCAACCACTGCGGTGCATTCACACAAGGAGAGTCACCAGCAGAGACAAAGAAAAGAAGAGGATGTCTCTTTCCACAAAACCCATTTCAGAGTGACAGAAGAAGCATCTGCTCTATGATAATATTGGGGGACCTGATCATATCTCTCAGCATTGGACAGATCATCTAAGCAACAAATTAACAGAGTAACCATTATTCTTTCAGAAGGAGAGAAGAAATCTAGGGCAATAGGGGGTAGGGAATGGGGGAAGGGGAGATATTGGACAAGGGGCATAAAGAATAATTACGACTTGGGGCCGGCCCGTGGCTCACTCGGGAGAGTGCGGTGCTGATAACACCAAGGCCGCGGGTTCGGATCCCATATAGGGATGGCCGGTTCGCTCACTGGGTGAGCGTGGTGCTGACAACACCAAGCCAAGGGTTAAGATCCCCTTACCAGTCATCTTTAAAAAAAAAAAAAAGAATAATTACGACTTGTAACGTGACAACACCAAGCCAAGGGTTAAGATCCCCTTACCAGTCATCTTTAAAAAAAAAAAAAAATAATAATTACGACTTGTAACGATATATATGCTAGTAATATTGATTTAATCAACATATCTCAATGTTCAACCCAAAAAAAATGTATAATCAATTTTGATTCAATAAATAAAATAAATTTTAAAAACATAATAATAGTAGAAAAATAAACACAGCAAAAGATCCAAAAAAAAAAAAACAAAAACAAAATAAAATAAGAGCATGAGAGTTTTTAAGTTAAAATGGCAAAATATTAACACCTGTCCAATCAGGGAGGCAGGTACATAGAAGTCTGTTATATTATTTTCTGTATCTTTTCTGAGTGCTTGTAATAATTCATAATTAAAAATAAAACTTTGAAAGAATTGTTAAAAAAAAAAAAACGGCACCAATGATCCTCACATCCTGGGATTTATGCCCTTATGTAGTCCTCACACACCAACTCAGAGATGGTCTGTATGGCTCAGTACAGCAGATGTGATGTGTGACTCCCAAGGCTTCATAAAAGACATTGCAGCTTCTGCCTTCATCTCTTCAGATCACTGACTATGAGGGAAGTCAACTACTATGTTATGAAGACTTTTAAGCAGGCTGTGGAGAGATCCTAAGGCCGCTAGCCAACAGCTTGCACCAACTTTGCCAGCTGTGGCAATGAGCCTCTGTCTCATTTATACCTGCAGGATTTCAATTAATAGAGGTGATTGATGACACAGATCGATGACATTGAAAGAAGAATTTATTACTTATATTTCCCAAGAGAAGGGGGCATGCCACAGAAGGAAGCATCGGGTTTTGGTCAGGAGGCAGAAGCAGGAGCAAAGGGACTGCCTAGGCCACAGCCTTTATTGGAGTTTCCTCAAGAAAGGCAAGACAGGGAAGAATGAACAGTTTAGGACTGGTTAGTTTGAATAATTCCGGTGGGCTCTGGGCTATAGCAGTGGTCTCTAGTTGCCTGGTACCTGGTCCTAGGATGATTTAGGACAGGGAAAGTAATGGCTTGGCATGTGAAAGTTAAAGGAGATTCACGTGAGCCACTTAGCCAAGTAAGTTGTTCACTATCTTTAGGAATTATCTAGTCCTGGAGGGGCAGTCTATCCCTGGTGCATAAGGCCCCACAAGATATCAAAATGTAAGATACAATAAAAACATGATGAATACAGCCATACAGCCTCCCTGCGAGTGCAGCTTTCAGGTGACTGCAGCCCTGGCCGAGATCTTGAATGCAACTTCATGACTGACTTTAAGCCAGAACCACCCAGCCTATCAGCTCCCAAACTCCCCACACAAATGGAAAGATAATGTTTATTATTGTTTTAAGCCAATAGTTTTGGGGGTAATTTGTTACACAGCAATAGACAGCTAAGGTGAAGGGAGATGATGAAAGGGGGGATCCTCTGATTAAAACAGCAATAAATATGGTCATGTCAACATTGCGGGCTGATGAAGAACGCTTGGAAAGGCTAGCAGGGCCCATAAGCTGATGTGAGATGCTCCCCGATGCCTTAGAGTGCCCAGAAGTAAATCCCATGTAGGATTGGCTTTCCTATATGATGCAGTCAAGGTTTATTATACATTCGAGGATTATTATACAATCAGGGCAGTTTGGGTTCAAACCAGAAAGGCTGAATAGTCCTGCTCGAGTATAACAGGTGTGTGTGTTTCCCCCACAATGTGCATTTGAGAATGGAACTTCTAAATGACGGGTAGGGAGAGGAAGTAGATCTAACCTCTCCCAGAGCTTGTGGTCCTGCCTCGCTTTTCTTCTAGTTTTTAGTAAGACCTTAAAACAAGACTACATTAGAGTACACAATGAAAAATAAAAGGCTCATTCCCGCAAGAAGTAACCGCAGTTAACAGTTCGGTGAGTACCACTCAAGAAGTTCCCTCTGCACCTGGCCTAGAGGTAAGTGCATATATGTGTTTGATACGTACAGCTTTATACAAAGGGCCCTCGCTGCAGCTGGCTCCCCACGGCAGTGTCTCCCCGGCCTGGCCCGTCCATAGCGCGCATGCGTGGGCCTAAGTCTCCACTCCGCACTATATCGCCACCTGGCGGATTGAAGCGAGTTTACGCTGTGTCAGTTTACACGTTTATTTTATTTGTTTTTTCTTTTTTTTTTTCTTTTGTCTTTTTCGTGACTGGTAAGGGGATCGCAACCCTTGGTGTGGAGTCACCCGCACCGTGCTCAGCCAGTGAGCGCACCGGCCATTCCTATATAGGATCCGAACCCGAACCCGCCGCGCGAGCATCGCTGCGCTCCCAGCCCCACCATCTCCGGAGTGCGCCACGGGCGGCCCACACGTTTATTTTATTTGTTTTTTCTTTTTTTTTTTCTTTTGTCTTTTTCGTGACTGGTAAGGGGATCGCAACCCTTGGTGTGGAGTCACCCGCACCGTGCTCAGCCAGTGAGCGCACCGGCCATTCCTATATAGGATCCGAACCCGAACCCGCCGCGCGAGCATCGCTGCGCTCCCAGCCCCACCATCTCCGGAGTGCGCCACGGGCGGCCCACACGTTTATTTTATTTTCACCAAACCGCGTTATTATTCTTTTTGTATGAGGTGGAGCCCAGATGCAAATTTACTAAATCTGACTTGTGAGCTTCCAAAAGGCTAATTTTATTTGAATATGATGTTTCTTTTCACCCGGGGAGTCAACAGCCAGAGAAGGCAAGCATCACTAATCTACAGAGAAACAGGTCATCATTCACATCTGTTTGGCTCTGGTAGGTGTTTACTGTTTGACCCTTGAACTCTTTCATTCTCTCCATTTTGTAAACAGAACAGAGGAAAAGGAGCTTAGACTTGGGTAAAGTCACTCTGGAGTGCACAGAAAAGCCAGCCTAGAACTCACTCTAGGGCTCCTTCTAACCAACCAGAAAATCCAGGTTGAAAACCAAGGGCTCAGAGAGAGTCTCATTCTTACCCTTCCACTTGCAGGTGACTGCTGTGACTAGCATGATCCCAATCTATCTTTGTAGATTAACCCCCTCTAGAATCCAGAGTTTCCAAGCATGCTTCATTTAAGGGAGATGGTCCTATTTCTCAACAATAAGAATGAACACTTACTAAGCATCTCTTCTAATTGGAGAATTATCTTTCCCTTTTGCCCAAACAGGGAAACCCAAAAGGAATATAACATCTCCTTTCAAACAAAAACAATAGCAAAAAAAGGTTAAAAAAAAATGTATAAAGCTCAGAGCAAAGACTCCAAAGCTGAAAATCTCTTAGAGAGTAACTTGGCCCCTCCTACACTCTCCTCCTCCTGCGGTGCTGCTCATTCTAGTCCTAAAACACACAGGACCTAAAGACCCTGAATCTCAAGCCACCCTCAGAGGATACAAAACCTTCCAGATGCTTTCCTTCCTTAACGTAGGCTAATTCTTCAAAAGCAGTAGCAGCAGAATGGACAGGGAGGGTAGAACAGTGATGGGGAGAAGGAATACAAGGGAAAGACACCTCTTCTCCTAATACTATGACCTCTCCTCAACTTCTGTAAGTTCCTACAGCTTTCCTGAAAAATTAGAGGAATAACTCTTCATTTATACCAGAATCCAGATTCTCAGGACAACAGAAAATGTATATATCTTCACATACTCAAATGTCACATTAAGAGGAATGCAACATTAGGGGATTGCTGTTTACTCGTGAAGCAAATGGTACCAGAATTAGAAATGTTATATTCTTACTGCTTTTGAAATCTGATTTTTAGATCTTACCATGACACATTTAAAAGAAAACAGGTGGGAAAACAGAGGATGGGGAGAATATAATCCTGCTAGGGCTTCTAGTTCCTGAAGTATGTTCACCTGTCCTTAACTGTCACACTCTCCCCCACCTCCCACTGGCAGCTGTTTTGTTTCCATTGTGATGGTGTGCAATCCCAGCGGGAGAGAAAATTAAGCTAATAGCCAATGGCTAGTAATCTTTGGGTGCAGGACGACATACCTTTCTCCTTCACTCTAAAGAACAGTGTACAGCACTAAGTTAGGGCTCTTTATTCAGATAGTGGAGTAAGGCACAGTAAAGCAGGAGAGCTACATGGTCTCCATGGCAACAGAAAGTCTCATAAATGTAAAAAGTCCCTCAGCTTCTGTCAGGCAGTCTCTTCGTAGCTCAGGAGAAACATTTTTTAACTTGAGAAGAACAAAACCAGGCAGCCTGGGTGGCTGGATGTATGGTCTCCGATCAGTCCTTCTGGAAGTGTCTGGTGAGTGTGTCCAGCAGCTCCTGCTTCTTCATCCCACCCTTCAGCCCGTACATCCTGCAGGCCTCCTTCAACATGGGCACAGTGAACTTGCCCAGTGTGCCCTTGCTGACATGGGCCTTCAGCTCCTCTTCAGATAACTCCACCTTGGGTCTTTTGCTTCTGGAATCTTCATCACCTGGGGGAAAAGGTCAGGAGGGAGTGATTAGAAATGTACCAGTGGCATCGCAGCTACATGGTGCGGGGGCTGTCATATGATCTGGGTTGCAGTTAACCATTTTCCATTCAGGTGTGAGGCCTACCTAGAACCCACGGGGAAGACAGGAGTCTTGATAAGGCAGCTTCATGTAAGTATAAAATAAAAAATGTATAACACCTAGGAGAGAGTTCCAAGTAGTGTAAATGTCATCAGTTTACCCAAAACTGTTGCTCACTCTGGGTCATTCCTTCCTTCCATCTATCCTTCAAAAAGCATTTACAAACACTGTGTAAGTACCAAAGCACCATGCCCAATGATAAGAATGTGCAGGCTGAGTGACAAATGACTCCACTGTGGACAGTGTGTGAAGAGCTCCAATGGCAGTTTACCAGGGCACCATGGGAATCACTCCTGATGCAAAAGAGAGACAGTTCCATGGCCACCAACCTACTCTCTCACAGCTCCATCTCCTCTTAGATCTTTTAGGAAAGCAAGGGCCAAATTTGGCTTTACTAAACCAATGACAGCCAAAAGGATTGCAGCTTGTGAAAGTTAATATTAGGTGTCAACTTGATTAGGTTAAGGAACCTGGTAAAGCTTTCTTTTTAGGTGTGTCCATGAGGGTGTTTCCAGGAGAGATTAGCATGAGAGCCTGAGTGGACTGGGTGGGAAAGACCCACCCTCAGCGTGGGTGAGAACTATCTAATCTGCTGGGGGCCCAGAGTGAACAAAAAACAGAGAAAAAAGGCAAATTGCTCTTTCTATCCGCTGGAGCTGAGATACACACTCTTCTATCTGTGGACATCAGAGCTCGAGACTTCAGCTTTTCCGTTCCAGGACTTATACCACGGACACCATCGGCTTCCCTGGTTCTGAGGCTGTGGACTTGGACTGAGCCCTGGTACCTTTCTTCACAATCCCATGACCTAACTCCCCTAATAAATCCCATCATATACTTATAACATATCCAGTTGATACTCTCTTCTGGAGAACCCCAGTACACAACTTAAGCCAGAACTATTCCAAAACGGTGACAGCACACGAGGTGCTGACCTGAAAAACAAGAGTGTCACAGGAAAGGGAACTTTGGTTTCAGCAGTAAGAAAAAGGACATTCCTTCCAAAAGGAAAAAATGGTTAAGGACAATAACAGGTAGTGCACAAGAAAAAAAAGTTCAATAAAACTACATCTCACTCATAACTGGAGAATTACAAATCAAAACAGGACAGAATATTACCTCTATCATTTCTGGCAGAAATTTTAAAAAACAGTAGGCTCAGGTAGTTTTCAGGACCTTGTGATAAAACTTCCTTAAATCTGTTCAGCCCAAGCAGCACTAGCTTCCTCTCCTGTCCCAAGGTGGAAGATGCTCTGAAGCGGGTGTTGATGCTGGAAGCCAAACACACCCTGCACACCTCCCGCTGTTAGCAGAGAGGGGGCTGGGACTCTCGGTAGGAAGGTCCAGGGATGACCTTCAACTGGGGTCCAACTGGAGCCCAAAGCAGGGTCAGTTTGACACCAACACAAGGAGGTAAGAGAAAAAAACATGAAAGGGCTTTTCTCTGAATAAACAAATACTTTTTTTTGGTGGAGGGAGTGGCTTGCCAGTAACAGGGATTGAACTGTTACTGTCAGCACCACACTCCGACCCATGGAGCTAACCAGCCAGCCCCTTGAATTAAACAGAAAATAAGTGAGCAACTCAGAACTGTCACAATTAATCAGAAGTGTATGGAATTGGACTATGCTTATATTTAAAACTCTTTCTTCATAGGTGTACCATTTAAAAAGTGTTACTCAGTGCTAAGTTTAGCTGCTTTAATAAAGCTTATTTTTAGTTTAAAAAAAAGTATATAAAGTCCAGGAGTGGTGAGGGTGTAGGAAAATACTCTCATCCCTTCTTGGGTAGAGTATAAACGTATCACGTTTTTGGAGGCAATTCTTACCAGAACTTTATTTTTATTAATTAATTTAGTTAGTTTTGTTTTGTTTTGGCTGGTACAGGGATCCAAACACTTGACCTTGGTGTTATCAGCACTAAGCTCTAACTAAATGAGCTAACTGGCTAGCTCACTTATCAGGATTTTAAATTTCTACACCTTGACCCAGCAGTATACAATGTTCTTGTTCACTGCAGCATATCCATCAATATAGGTCTGGTTAAATTAACTGGAGTACACCTATCCAATGAAGTACTCTGTAGCCTTATGTTTTTAAATGAGGTAGATATATAAGTATGGATATAAATAACTTTACAACATACACAGATGAGTAACAAACTAGAAAATAATGTGAGGGCCGGCCCATGGCTCACTTGGGAGAGTGTGGTGCTGATAACACCAAGGCCAAGGGTTCAGATCCCTATATAGGGATGGCCGGTTAGCTCACTTAGGAGAGCGTGGTGCTGATAACACCAAGTCAAGGGTTAAGATCCCCTTACCGATCATCTTTAAAAAAAAAAAAAGAAAAGAATGTGAATACTATTACATTTGTGCTGAAATATGTATATACATATACATATTTCTTTTTGGTTTTTTTTTGGGGGGGGGGGGTGCGGGGGTTGGTTTTTGTTTTTAACGTAATCTGCACATCATTTGCATCAGAAACAAAATGGTTTTTTTTTTTTTTTTTTTTGGTTTTTTTTTGGGGGGGGGGGGTGCAGCTGGCCAGTAAAGGGATCCGAACCCTTAACATTGGTGTAATCAACACTGTGTTCTAACCAACTGAGCCAACTTGCCAACACCAAGCCAAGGGTTAAGACCCTTACCGGTCATCTTTTTTTTTTTTTTTTTTAAAAGACCATACATAAAGGCAACTTTTTTAAATAACCCACTGAATATACACACCCAGTTCCTCACCTTGTTTTTGCTTGGCAACTTTTCTCTCAGGATTGTAATCTGGTGGGTAGACAAGTTCCTTAAACTCATCTACCAGGGAGCCCAGTCTTTTATCCATTGCTTCAACCCTCGGCACTAGAAAATCAAAACAGAAGAGTGGCCTGGTAAGTCACAAGCCCCAGATTCCTGTCCAGTTCCAATTCCACGGGAACCGAGGAGAGAGCACCTAACTGCTGGGGTGGGAGGAGGCTGGGGAAGGGTCTGCTGGGAGGCAGCTTATCTGGCCATGAAAACTTCCAGTAAAGTTTTTCCAACATTTACCACGTACCTTATAATAATCACAGTTACTGAGCACTTGCTACAGCCAGGCACTATATTCCAGATGCTTTAAACTTATTTTTATTTAATCCTTCTAACAACCTAAAAGATAGGTAAATTTCTTTCCCTGTTTTACGGAGGAGGAAAGCACAGAGGTTAAATGACTTGCCCAAGGTCAAATAGCTGGGAAGTAGTAGAGATGAGATACTGGGCTAGACTCTAGGAATTCAAACCACAGTCCGTGCCCTCAGTAGGCTTATAGTCTAGTCAGAGTAAGGAAGTAGGTAAGATCATAATGCAATAGAGCTGGGTAATGTCCTGAAAGAAGAGACTGTCCAAGGTACACTGGGCCATAGGAAGGGTTAGGAAAGACTTTCTATAGCAGAGTCTGGAGAAATAAGAAGCAGAAGATACTGGGTAAGAAAAGGCAGGAAACATATAGCTTGAAGGTGGGGTGTAAGGAGGCTGGGCCAGCACAGAGGCTGGAAAGGCGGATGTGGTGAGGTCATGGAAGCCTGGAACATCTGCCAAGGATTTAGGCCTTATCCTAAGAACAGCTATGAGCAGGGCAGCTACGAGATCAGATGTGCATTTAGAAAGATCACCCTGAGAGCTGTGTGGAGTGTGAACCACAGGAGGGAAAGACAGATGGCTGAAGCAGTCAGGGGAGGGGACCTATAAACATGAGAAGTGACAGAATTGACAAAACTTATTAATGGACTGTGGGGGGCGTGGGGGAGATGACCAGCTGGGAAGGCAAATATACTCCCCAAGACATTTGCAATAGGAAAAGGAGACTTTTGGGGGAAGATAATACAGTATTTTTGTTAACTCACAACTGCAGAGTTTGTACAGCGTTTGACATGAGCTGTGTCACATCAAGGGCAAGGGTGATGAGATGGGTATCTGTCATTTCCTCCCATGACCACATCTGCAAAGCACTGAAGGGAGCTCCTGCCCTCTGGTACCTAGAAGATGGTGTAAGTTCAGAGCCAACTGTGCTCCTGCCATGTCAGAAGCGCCATGTTCCAGACTAGGAGCCTTCTGCTAGAGCACTGGCTTTCAACCTGGGAATCACCTGGGGCAGTTTAAAAAGTACTGAGGCCCAAATCCCACCCCCAAAGATTCTGATTTAATCTGTGGTAAGGCCTGAACATCCACCTTTTTGAAAGCCCCCCAATGATTCTGTTGTATAGCCAAAGTTGAGAACCAATGTGCTAAAGGTAGTGGCATATCTCAGAATCACCTGGAAGGCTTGTTAAAACACATGTTGCTGGACCTCAACCTGAGTTTCAGATTCAATCGACTTGGGGCTGAGCTTAAGAATTTGCATTTCTGGGCCGGCCCGGTGGCGCACTGCTACAGTGTGCCGCTTGGGAAGCACGGCAGCGCTCCCGCCGAGGGTTCGGATCCCACATACAGACCGGTTCCCGCTCACTGGCTGAGCAAGGTGCGGGGGCAACGCCGAGGGTTGCGATCCCGTTGCCGGTCCCGGTCCGGTACGGGTGCGACACTGAGGGTTGCGATCCGTTGCCGGTCACGAAAAAAGACAAAAAGGAAAAAAAAAAAAAGAATTTGCATTTCTAACAAGTTCCCAGGAGATGTCAGGGACCACACTTGAGTACTACTAGTGTAGCCTGAGTGGCCACTTAGAGAGAAGTGAAATACTAGAGTACCACCCAGGGCACTCCTGTGTTTAGAGAAGGAAAAAGAAAAGCAAATCCAGCAAGGGAGTCTTAGGGAGAAAAAACAAGACAGGATGGCATCACAAAGCCAAAAGCAGAAAGTAGGAAATCAACTTCTAGTCTTTGATTAAGTACTTATTAAAAGAAAACCATATCACTCTGTTGGAGGGAAACAGACATGCATTTGATTAGAAGAGGATGAGGGCTGGCCGGTTAGCTCAGCTGGTTAGAGCATAGCCCAAGGTCATGGGTTTGAATCCCCATGCTAGCCAGCTGCACCCACCCCCTGAAAAAAAAAGAGAGTGAGAGATGTAAAAGAGAAAAGAGCCAAAGGTGTCAGATGTTTTGTTTTGTCAGTAGGATATCCAGGTCCTACAGTACATGACAACCAGGCAGCTGGAATTTCCAGTCTAGAGCCCAGAAGAGAGGATATAACTGTGGTTGATAACATGAGGTGATGACTGTGGTTGTGGGAGTGGATAAGACAACGGGCAGAGAGGGCTGAGGATAGAAATTTAGGTTATAGGAAATACTTGAGCAGCCAAAACTGTTTTGAAAATAGAGGTAGAAATAGAAAACAGAACTTTTAGTAAAACTATAGGGCCAGAAGCCAGAATGTAAAAGGTTGAGGCCCAGGAAGCAGGGACAGTAACTGGACTAAGGAGAATGACTGTGTTCTGAGCACTTCCTAAATGCTCAGGGCCTATACTTTGTTAAAACCTTATAAGAACAATATCACTATTCCCATTTTACCAAAAAGAAAACTGAGTCTCAGAAAGATTAATATTCCCAAAGCCACTCAATATAGTAAGTGACGGAGCTGATATTCAAATAGACATCAGCTGTCTCCAAAGCCTGTGTCTTTAACCACCTTACTAGGCACTAGGCAGGCCTTAAAGGAAGAGATGGGCAGCTTAACTCAAGGGTTTCTCTTCCGCCAGACCCAGCTAGACAGTCACCACAATAACACTGGTTCAATAACTCTTAGGATTTTAATGCTGGGGCTATTTTGTCTAGTATAAAAGAGATTGTTAATAATTTGGAGACTAAGCAGGCCAAACTAATAGTTTGAACATCTGTCAAGAATCTTCATTAAAAGGGCCGGCCCGTGGCTCACTCGGGAGAGTGCAGTGCTGATGACACCAACGCCACAGGTTCGGATCCTATATAGGGATGACCGGTTGGCTCACTTGGAAGAGCGTGGTGCTGACAACACCAAGTCAAGGGTTGAGATCCCCTTACCAGTCATCTTTAAAAACAAAAACAAAAAAAAAACCCAATCTGTTTCCCAGTGGATATTAACTTACATCAGTAAACTTGCTGCATCCTCTTACAACATATGAAAGAGAACCACAATCAAGAAGGGGACTACCAGCAGGGTCAGAGAACCCCAGCCTGGATGGCCAGCCACAGCTCCTTGATGCCAGGTAATGAGGTGGATATTCTCAGGGCAGAGCAGGCAGTCTGATGGAGAGGCAGTAAGCACCATGGTTCAGAGCAAGGGCTCTGGGTGGGACTCGCTGGGTTCTAAACTTAGACCGACCACTTACTACTCAATACCTTGGATAAATCACACCCTTCTCTGTAAAGTAGGGACAATAACAGCCCCCACCTCATAGTTATGATGATTAAATGAGTCAACACATAGGATGACAACAGTATCTGGCATACACTAAGCACTCAACAAATGTTATATATTATTTTTTTCTGCTCATAAAAGAACCAGCCAAATCTTGTCAGGCAGTCTAAGCTGATCTAGAAAATCTCTCAAACACAGATGGTCTGGACAATGAGCTTAAGACATCGGAGAGTGCTAGGAAATACATCCACATTACTGGTTCAGAGTGAAACAATAAGAAGGCCTCCCATTGGAAGAACTTTTTCTTGACTCAGTCACAACCTTCTTACTTGTCAGATCTATTGCTTGCTCAGGCTCCATCAAATCCAAAGCTAAGGCCTCCAGGTTCCTGAAGTGCTGCTGCAGCACTGGGTTCTCAAAGCTGTCACTTCTGTTAAAAGAATAATAACATTATTATAAATGTTAAAATATAAATTAAATTAAAACAAAAGGCTGGCCAGTTAGCTCAGTTGGTTAGAGTGTGCTGATCACCGCCGCTGCCACAGGCCCACTTGGGATCCGGAGGCATGGTGCCAGGGACCAACCCCTCTTCCCACAACCAGGCAAGAAGCACACCAAAAACACCACTTCCATGTGAGTGGCCCACCACAGCCACCACAATAGCCACGGCTGCCGCAAAAGTGGCTAAACACCACAACCACCGTGCAGATGGCCTACCACCACTCAAGTGTGTTGACACAAGGAGAGTCACCAGCAGAGATCAAAGAAAAGAACAGGATATCTCCCTCCACAAAGCCCATTCCAGAGTGACAGAAGAAGCATCTGCTCTATGATAATATTGGGGGACCTGAACACACCTCTCTCAGCATTGGACAGATCATCTAGGCAACAAATCAACAGAGTAATCATTACTCTTACAGAAGGAGAGAAGAAATCTAGGGTTATCAGAGGAGGGAAGGGGGAGTGAAAGCAAAGAAAAGAAGAGGACGTCTCTCTCCACAAAGCCCATTCCAGAGAGACAGAAGAAGCATCTTCTCTACGATAATATTGGGACCTGAACACACCTCTCTCAGCATTGGACAGATCATCTAGGCAACAAATCAACAGAGTAATCATTACTCTTACAGAAGGAGAGAAGAAATCTAGGGTTATCAGAGGAGGGAAGGGGGAGTGAAAGGGGATGGGGAGAGATTGGACAAGGGGCATAAAGAATAAGTATGATTTGTAACAATATATATACTAGTAATATTGATTTGATAGGCAAAGGTAGGAAAGTAGCCTATAGACAAAAGATAGAACATGAAAAACTATAACTCAATAGCAAAAAACATGAATAATCCAATGTAAAAATGGGCTAAGGGCACAGAAATACTTCATGTCCTCACTTATAAGTGGGAGCTAAAAAATAAACAAGCAAGCAAGGAAGTAACAACAATCACAACATGTTGAACTTGCAGAGGGAGAGAATAGAACTGTGGTTACTAGAGACGGGAAAGGGAGACAGCGAGGGGGATTAGTGAGAAATTGGTTAATGGACACAAAGAATGATTATGTTTTTTAATGATGAATATACTAATTATCCTGATTTGATCATAATACATTGTACACAGGTATTGATATTCAACTCTGTACACCACAAATACATATAATCAATTATGTTTCAATAAAAAAAAGTAAAGAAATAAATAAAAATGGGCTAAAGACTTGAATAGACATATTTCCAAAGCAGACATACAAATGGTTAAGAGGAATATGAAAAGACGTTCAACCGCACTAATAATCTGGGAAATGCAAATGAAAACCACAAGGAGATATCACCTCACGCCTGTTAGAATGGCTATTATCAAAAACAAAAAAATATAGACATATTTCCAAAGCAGACATACAAATGGTTAAGAGGAATATGAAAAGACGTTCAACCACACTAATAATCTGGGAAATGCAAATGAAAACCACAAGGAGATATCACCTCACGCCTGTTAGAATGGCTATTATCAAAAACAAAAAAACGAGTAGTGGTGAGGATGTGGAGAAATTGGAACTCTTGTATACTTTTGGCAGGAGTGCAAAATGGTGCAGCCACTAAGGAAAACAGTATGGGGGTTCCTCAAAAAATTAAAAATAGAGCTACCATATTATCCAGAAACTACATTTTTGCATACTTATCCAAAAGAACGGAAATCAAGATGTTGAAGAATATTACCATTCCCATGTTCACTGCAGTACTATTGTAGAAACAACCTAAATGTCCATTGACGGATTAATGGATACAGAAAATGTGCTATATACATACAATGGAATATTATTCAGCCTTAAAAAAGAAGGAAATCCTGCAATATGCAACAACATAGATGAACCTTGAGGACATTATGCTAAGTGAAATTAACCAGTAACAGAAGGACAAATATTACATAATTCTGCTTATATAAGGTATAGTCAAACTCACAGCAGCAGAGAGTAGAATGGTGGTTGTCAGGGGCTGGGAGAGGGAGAAATGGGGAGTTGCTAATCGACAGGTATAATGTTTCAGTTACACAAGATGAATAAGTTCTAGAGATCTGCTGTACAAAATTGTGCATATAATTAACAATACTATATCAAAAACCCATTAACAGAGTAGATCTCATGTTAAGTGCTCTTGCCACAATAAAATAAAAATTAAAAAAATAAAAAGATGCGGCCAGCCCGTGACTCACTCAGGAGAGTGTGGTGCTGATAACACTAAGGCCACAGGTTCAGATCCCCTATAGGGGTGGCCGGTTAGCTCACTGGGTGAGCGTGGTGCTGACAATACCAAGCTAAGGGTTTAGATCTCCTTACCGGTCATCTTTTAAAAATAAATAAATAAATAAAAAGATGGCACGTGGAAAACATTATGTTTGGTGTCACATTATGCAGGCTCTAGGAGGAGGTCCATTAATGTATGTGAAAGGGAATGACTTGAAGTGCATAATCATTCTTTTAAGCCTGTAACAATCACATTAGATTTACATTCTTTCATTCACTGTGTGACAACAAATATAATCAAGGAGCAGGACAACTAAGAATCTTCCCCTTACTGCTACATGTGTTTGGGGGTCAGGGGCAGCTGGCTGATACAGGAACCTTACTGCTACTTTTTTGAACCTGTTCAACCAACTAATCTGGCTTTCTAAGTACAGCACAACAGGCCAAACAGCACAATCCTGGAGTCTTAATTAAGAACTTCCATTCTTTTTAAAAGCTCTCAATAACAAGTAATAATCTATCAGCTAACTGAAAAGAGTAAAATCAAATTCTCTTGATCTATGCCTAACTTGATTTTGGGGAGAAGTGGTATTAATGCTTTTTATTGCTATTGGCCCCCCAGAATTAGAGACCCAGCTCCCTTCCTGGTCCAGTGCAGGACAGGGTGAGCAGGGAGCCGGGGCTAGGTCTGAATGTGCTCTGAGAAAAACCAGAAGGACTTGGACCAGGAGGAACTACTAAGGCTGAGCGTGGCCCTCAGAGCTCCTGGGGTTGGGACCAGAGTGGGCCCATTTTCTCTCCTGCCCTCTGGGCTATTGGGATACCTCTGGCTGAGGACTCTTCATGGGCAGGAAGCTTCTCCTATTCCCAGTATCTCCCTGGCACCTGATGCATCACCCAGCACACAGAGGTGAGTAGTAAACACAGACCGCTACTGGAGAGGCTGGCATCTCATGTCCATTTCGGTTCTCTTGGAACCCAGGACTAGACCATCTCCACCAGTGAATGGCTCTGACTCCTTAACAGTGTGTAATATTTAGCTCATTGCAAACATCTGCGCCTGCAGGATTTATCTTGATCCTCTCAGTGACCCTGTTCATGTTGAACTGAGAAGAATTGATTAGGCGTCAGGCAGTCCTGCATCTAGTCTTGACTTTGGCACTTGTGATATATCTTGGACCGGTGAGTTACTTCTCTTAGTGTCCAGCATAGTTTCCTCGTCTGTGAAACGGGGCTGTCCAGCATTATCTCCCTCTAGTCCAAGGGGCATAAAAAAATAAGTACAATTTGTAACAATATATACTAGTAATATTATTTGACCAACATATGTCAACATTGAATCCCAAAAATATGTATAATAACCTGTGATTCAAAAAAAAAAGAATGGGACAATGTAGTGGTTAGCATAGCACATACCTGAGTTCAAATTCCAGTTCTGCCATTTGTCCCCAGTATGACCTTGCATGAGTCACTCTTGAACTTCTAATAAGACTTTCAACTCAGGAGGCTGTTCCAGAAGAAAGCCTGACCCAATACTCACCTGTATTTGAAGCGGAGCTTCTGAATGATAGCCTTCATCTTGTCTATCTGCTCTGGGTTTGCCGTGACTTTTTCAGGAAAGGGCACCCTCCGTTTATCATCAGCATAGGGTAGGAAGACAAGCTGGAAGCCTGAAAAGGGGAGATAAATTTTCTGAGACTTGACTTAAAGTGGTGCAGTCATGAAGAGGATTCATAAAGCAAATGTACTTCACAGGGCCTGGTTTTCCAAAGCCTTGCAGTTTCAAATATTGACCTTGCAAAGGACAGGAAATTTCCCCCAGGCTATTGAGTCTCTGTTGCACGATAAGAATTGTAACACAGCAAGGTTGCTGGCTCAAAGACAGACAGGTTACTGATTGATATGTAAAGATCCTGGGAAACTGCGGTAAAAAGAGAATGTTTGCTAAAATCAGACCTTTGTTGCAAATTTCATTACAGAAGGTCACCTTGCTTGACTTACTGAATGTTACCAGCTTCTATTGTTAAACTTGTTAAACTGCACTTTACAAACCCCGCCTATGTCTCTTCCTGTAACTTCTTGGTCTAGAGAATAAATGCAGGAAGAGAACCCCAATTCGTGGTTAATTTCCCAAATGGAAGGAATGCCTCGTGCTTGAGGAAGTTCTGGGACATTAACCCCTTTCTGGGGTGTCTCACTGCTCAGAAGAGATGGGCTTTGAGTAATCTTTGGCAGCTCTGTCACCCAGGGGAAAAGGGGTGACAAATCTGTGGGAGGCAAAGCAACACAGTCATTTGCCTGTCAGCTCCAAATTCACCCTTCTATGTCCTGTGATGCTGCGGTTGAGGCCTGCAAACCTCATTTCTCCTTTACCATCTGATTCCTGTTAGCATCTGCCTAACAGATTTCCTCTGGAGTCTGTGCACAGAAAATGGAAGGTAAGACAGGTGCCCCTTCCTGTATAGTTACTGTTCCTGTCTGTACTGCCCCAGCAAGGACTCTTTACCTGGCAGCAGCAGTTGGTTCCAGTCTCCAGCTTTTTTGATACCTCCAGAGGCAGCTGGACAGTGGCCCCTCCCTGGAGAGCTATGTCTCAGCTCTATCAGGCCCTCCTCCAGGCTTTAACCTCTCCCCTTTTTTCTTCCACCCTTCACCACATGCTAAAAGGAAAGAGGTAAGAGTTATCAGACTGATATTGGTCCAGTTACTGGCTGGTCCTAGAAGGACTGAAAAAATCTAGATATGGTAACCAACTGCTGCTGCCAGGTGAAGGTCCCTTGCTGCCAATATTGACAGCACTGAGAAACAGGAAGGAGCAAATCCTTTACCTCCTCTCTGTCCTGTGGTCTCCCTCTAGCATCCACTAGTGACGTAGCCTGAAAGCCACAGCTGAGAAAGGAGAAGTTGGGTTGAAGAGTCTCAGCCTCAGCAGCACAGAGCATAAAAGTGTGAATTTGGAGCTGAGAGACCTTACCTTAATAACTGAGCATTCTGATGACTGGGTTAAAATATAATATATTCAGAGGGCTGGCTGATTAGCTCAGTTGGTTGGAGTGCAGTGTTATAACACCAAAGTTAAGGGTTCAGATCCCCTAACCAGCTAGCCACAAAAAAAAAAAAAAAAAAAAAAAAAAAACACACACACATATATAAATAAAATATACTTAAAGAGTTAGTTTATAAAATTAATCTTTACTAGCATGGCTGGAGAAAAAGAAAGACTACCATCTGCTGACTACTTTGTGCAAGGCACTTGTATATTTATTAACTTATCTCAAATGTAAAACAACTATGTGGGAAAGGTGTTTCAGAATTCCCATCTTTGTAAATGAGAAATATAAAAAGAGAGGTTAAATTATTTGCCCAAGTTGGCCAGCTAACAAGTAGCAGAGATGAGCCTGACACAGAAAAAAGCAAGCTTTCAGACACAAGCATAAGATATGAGTCTGACTTAAAAATCCATGGTCTTTCCACTATACCCCACTGCCTTGACATATTCAAGAGATTAGACATTACATTAGACGGGTGCCAAACAATGGCTTTTAGTAAAGAAAAGTGTCAGCAGTGAGGCCCCATAAACTTGTGTCAGCAACCTGCAAACAGTCCTTATGCAGACAACTCTCAATCCTAGCTGCAGACCTACCTTGAATAGCTGTGCAAGCCATGACTGTACAACCATATTTGGTGGCCTTACCTGGCGATGCATCAAACTCACCTAAGAAACCTTAAAAGTACGTATTTCCCAGGCCCCATTCCTGCAGAATATGGTTCAGCACATCTGAGTTAGGTTCCCATGAGTGATTCCAAAGCATGGGCAAGGTTCAGAAGCCCTGAAAATATCTCTGCCACGTACCTGGAGGAGTCACCTGAATTTTCTGATCATCCAGCTCCTCCTCCTGCGGCACCAAAGCCACAAAATAAGGGGTGATGTTCTTGCGGGGTGTGTATCTACACACTGCTATGACCTCCTTCTCCAGACACTTGGTGAGCAGAGCGATGAACAGTGTTGAGCTTCCTGGAAAACAAATGTCCCAGTGGCTAAATCCTGAAGAGGCCTCCTTCTTTCTTCACTTATAGTCCATGGTATAACCCTACAATTTCTCTTCATTTTCTTTAAAGGGCTTATGATACCTAAATAGGTAAGGAGTGAGGGACCCAGAGCTGAGGGGAAAGTGGGGGCAGCAGAGGCATAGAAAGGAAGAGAAAGGAAAGGAGTAAGAGGTTTGGAGGCTTCACAGTGTCCATTTTGGACTGTGAATTATTTTTTTTATTTTATTTTTTTAAAAAGACGACCAGGGGCCGGCCCGTGGCTCACTGGGGAGAGTGCGGTGCTAATAACACCAAGGCCCCGGGTTCGGATCCCATATAGGGATGGCCAGTTCGCTCACTGGCTGAGCGTGGTGCTGACAACACCAAGTCAGGGGTTAAGATCCCCTTACCGGTCATCTTTTGAAAAAAAAATAAAATAAAATAAAAAGATGACCGGTAAGGGGATCTTAACCCTTGACTTGGTGTTGTCAGCACCATGCTCACCCAAGTGAGCAAACCGGCCATCCCTATATGGGATCCGAACCCAGGGCCTTGGTGTTATCAGCACCGCACTCTCCCGAGTGAGCCACTGGCCGGCCCTGGACTGTGAATTATTAATAGCAGTTCACTTTCACTGACATTAAGCTAGTGGCATGAGCCCCAGATGCTAATGAAAACCAATCATTTCAAATTCGGGGGGGTTCATGAGCTACAGCACAGAGGAATATAAGTCTGGACAGCACAAATAAACACAATGGCAGAGTTCACATCATCTTTAATAGCCAACACTAGTGAAGCAGCTGTGGATGTTTTCTGTTTGTTTTTTGTTCTCTATCCAATGCCTCAAAGAAAGAATTCCATAGGAAATAAGTTCTAAAAATGCTAAATTCCATAGTCCCCTCCTGGATATTCACAATGTACATCAGTATATTAAAGGTTCTAAAGAAATCTTTTAGTCCCACAATTCCAAAATTTGAGCATGAAACACTTTCAAAATACTCCATTAATATCTCTAATACAGTGTCCAGGCAGCACCTGTTTAATTGCATTCTGTGTTAGCATCACTCATTTATTCTTGGTCTGTACCACTTACCATTTACCAGGGACTCCTCAGGGTACACAAACAGGGAGGGCCTCAGGTGATGGTGCTTCTTCAGCATTACCAAGGGCTTGAAACCAATGAGAACCAAACCTGGTTCATCAAACCGTTTTAGCTCTTCTGTTTCCTCTTTCTCTAGTACAATCTGACGATTCCCATACACCTAAAGGAGGGGCACAATGAGGACCACACAGAGAGGCTACATGACACTAGCAAGTTAAAATCACCTCTTCTAAGGAGCAGGAAGATGGTTCACGAGGGGCATTCTCCTCCTACAGCAGGGAATTAACATTTATTCAGTGACTGTCTGGGTTTACACTTGTCATCTGATTTATCTTCTCTAACAATCCTAGGAGGTAGAAGTTAAAAACTGTTTTACAGATGCACGAAGTGAGGCTCAATGGCTGGTAACTAGCTCCCGGTTATACAACTGAATTGGACTTTAAACCAGACCTATATGATGCAAAGGGCCATGCTCTTCAGGTATTTATTACTTCCCTCATTTAACATGACTAAGCTCCCAGCACCATCCCTGACACACAAAGGATGCTCAAACTATAACCTACTTATTGAATGAGAGGAACGATATCAGGTACTGTGCCAGGTCTCGGTTAGTGTGGGAGGCAGACACAAACACACATATCTAAGTACTAATTCCAAACATTAATGTTTGCATTTTGATCCTAGATATGTGATTAATCAGAACTTAGTAGCAGAGTCAAATTTGGGTTTTATGAACAAAAAAAGAGCCCTCAAAGTTTTTTCAGGCACATTTGATCAAGAAACTCAATGACCAGAAGAGCCTATGAATAAACTAACATGAAAGGGCCGGCCCGTGGCTCACTCGGTAGAGTGCGGTGCTGATAACACCAAGGCCATGGGTTCGGATCCCATATAGGGATGGCCTGTTGCTCACTGGGTGAGCGTGGTGCTGACAACACCAAGTCAAGGGTTAAGATCTCCTTACCGGTCATCTTTAAAAAAAAAAAAAAAAAACTAACATGAAAAACTAGTAACATCCAAAATGGGAACTGACCACTTAGCTCAGGTGGTTAGAAAGCCACCTTGTAACACCAAGGTCAAGGGTTCAGATCCCTAAAACAAACAGCCACCAAAAAAACAAAAATGGAAGAGAAAATTTACCTTCTTCTTCAAAATGTAGGGCAAATGGGCTGGCCAGTAAGTTCAGTTGGTTAGAACAAGGTGTTATAACACCAAGGTCAAGGGTTCAGATCCCCATACCCCCCAGCCACAAAAAAAGAAAACAAAAGAAAGAAAAAGTAGGGCAAAACATACCAACTTAAAATTTGTGCTCCAAAAAACATCTCATGGGTTGAATCAAAATAATATTTAACTTTAGTCATCCTTCTAGGTCCTGAACTAATATAAAATCTCAGATTCTCTCCCACATTTTGCACAATTAAAAAGGAAGGACTGCAACCTAGGAACAGGGAAGCAAAGAGAAAAGAAAAGAAAAAGGAAAGATGACTCATTTTATTTTAATTTTCTCTTTTTTGTCAATTTTAATTTTTGATGTCAAATCCTTCTATAGATTGAACAAAGGTGAGAGGATGAGGAAAGATAATGTTCTGTATTCTAAATCTGTCTTTCAGGTTCAGAAAGGAAACTGTGTCATTCCAAAGCACAGAAAAAATGTGGTTTAGCAAAAAGAAATTTGCTCCCTAACAAATGAATCCACTTCATACCTAACACTTTCCCCAGCTCCTCATCTCCCTATTTAACTAGAAAGCATTTTGTACTATTGTACCTGAGCAAAGAATTAGATGGTTAGACTTAGAGCAGCCTGTGCTGAGTGACCAAGGGCTAAAGTTTTCACTGACGTCTCTTCCAAACATGGGCCCTATTTAACTTTCTAGCTCTTAAGATATCACTGATCCAAATGCCATAGTTGCAAACAGTAATGACTTTGTGTTTTAAGAGCTTGACTAGAAAGATGTACACATGAAATTTAACTGGTTAGGCTGATCAGTGTCTATCCTCCCTGTTAACTCTTCAATGAGAGAAAACTCAGGCCGGCCCGTGGCTCACTCGGTAGAGTGCGGTGCTGATAACACCAAGGCCAC